TTTTTTTTTTTTTTTTTTTTTTTGATGTGGACCATTTTTAAAGCCTTTATTGAATTTGTTACAATATTGCTTCTGTTTTACGTTTTTTGGGCCTCGAGGCATGTGGTCCCCGACCAGGGATGGAACCCTCACCCCCTGCACTGGGAGGCGCAGTCTTAACCACTGGACAGCCAGGGAAGTCCCCATAATGTGTTTTATGATCTTCCCCACTCCCTCGCTTTTCTTTTCTTTTCTTTTCTTTTTTGGCCGCACTATGCTGCTTATGGGATCTTTGTTCCCCAACCAGGGATTGAACCCGGGCCATGGCAGTGAAAGTGTCTTGAAACAGTGAAAGAGTCTTGAACACTGGACCACCAGAGAATTCCCAGTTGATCTTTTTTTAATATATGAAACTGAGAAGCATATAATTTGATTTTTACATTTGCATCACACTTAACTGATATTTTGCTGATGCAATAGTCTGCTTGTTTGGATATGTCTTAATTTGACCTCACACTTAGGTTTTGTTTGAGTTGACAATAGGAATAATGATACTTCCTTAGGCTCTGGAAGCCATTGCTGTCTTGTATCCTTGCATCATTGTTGCTGATAAGAACACTGATTCTGGTTCACCCCAGTGTCACAGGAAATGTTATTCTGTATTGTGATTTAAAATAGCCTGTGTTTGTCACATCTTTTTGCTTCTGTAGTGTCTTGCCACAAACAAGCAAATTGGTTAAATGTAGGGCTTGTAGTTGAAGAATCACACAGGAGCTGTTTTAAATGAACCACCAAATTTCATCACAACAGATAACGTGGACTAAATAAAACAAGAAAATGCCCTGCCCAATATTTACAAAGTACCAGGTCACACCTACCCTCCCTTACCTTTTACTTTAGCGATGCAACAATACAACTCATCTGTTTTCCTGTAGTTCTGACAAGTTCTTAGTATTTCTGAATGTTGCCTCAATTCATTCTCTTGTCTTTCCTTCTGGAACTCATAGTAATTGATCATAAGAATTTGTAGATTTTGTCTTATTGATTGAAGCTTCCAGATCACTATTTTGCTCTTCAAATTTTACTCTCTATTGTTTCACTTTTTTCTTTTTTTTAAGACCCCCTAATTTGTTAATTTGTTATTTTCAATCTGTCTGTGAGTAATGTAACCATTTTTGGAGAGACGTAGGATTGAATCTCTGCTCATATATCTTAACATCTTTAATTTCACTCATCCTTCCTCATCTGTAAAATGGAAACTATTTACTGTATATTCTTATTACACATATTAAATGAAAATTTATGTAAAGTAGTTTTTGCTTTCTTTTCAGCCACAAAAAGCCGCATCCAAGTTTGTTTGACGTCTGCTCTGTCAAGTGTCCATGATGTTGGGCCCCGAGGGAGGTGAAGGCTTTGTAGTCAAGCTCCGTGGCCTGCCCTGGTCCTGCTCTGTTGAGGATGTGCAGAATTTCCTCTCCGACTGCACAATTCATGATGGGGTCGCAGGCGTTCACTTTATCTACACTAGAGAAGGCAGGCAGAGTGGTGAGGCTTTTGTTGAACTTGAATCAGAAGATGATGTAAAAATGGCCCTTAAAAAAGACAGGGAAAGCATGGGACATCGGTACATTGAGGTGTTCAAGTCCCACAGAACCGAGATGGATTGGGTGTTGAAGCACAGTGGTCCAAACAGTGCTGACACCGCCAATGATGGTTTCGTGCGACTTCGAGGACTCCCGTTTGGATGCACCAAGGAAGAAATCATTCAGTTCTTCTCAGGGTTGGAAATCGTGCCAAACGGGATCACATTGCCTGTGGACCCCGAGGGCAAGATTACAGGGGAAGCCTTTGTGCAGTTTGCCTCACAAGAGTTAGCTGAGAAGGCTCTAGGGAAGCACAAGGAGAGAATAGGGCACAGGTATATTGAGGTGTTCAAGAGCAGTCAGGAAGAAGTTAGGTCATACTCGGATCCCCCTCTGAAGTTCATGTCAGTGCAGCGGCCGGGGCCCTATGACCGGCCTGGCACAGCCAGGAGGTATATCGGCATTGTCAAGCAAGCAGGCCTGGAGAGGATGAGGTCTGGTGCCTACAGTGCAGGCTATGGGGGCTATGAGGAGTACAGTGGCCTCAGCGATGGCTACGGCTTCACCACCGACCTGTTTGGAAGAGACCTCAGTTACTGTCTCTCTGGGATGTATGACCAAAGGTATGGAGATGGCGAGTTCACTGTCCAGAGCACCACTGGACACTGCGTCCACATGAGGGGGCTGCCCTACAAAGCCACGGAGAACGACATTTACAACTTCTTCTCTCCACTCAACCCAGTGAGAGTCCATATTGAGATTGGCCCTGATGGAAGAGTGACCGGTGAAGCCGATGTCGAATTTGCCACTCACGAAGAAGCTGTGGCGGCCATGTCCAAAGACAGGGCTAACATGCAGCACAGATACATAGAACTTTTCTTGAATTCCACGACAGGGTCCAGCAACGGGGCATATAGCAGCCAGATGATGCAAGGCATAGGGGTGTCAACCCAGTCCACTTACAGTGGCCTTGAGAGCCAGTCCGTGAGTGGCTGTTACGGGGCAGCGGCTAGCTATGGTGGCCAGAACAGCATGAGTGGATATGACTAGTTTTGTAGTAGCTTTTGAGTTATTTCATCAGATTTTCACAGGCAGCCAACAAGCAGTGAAAAGCAGTTATTACTCTAGAGGAAGCTGTGGGACCCATTTTGCACCATGAGTTTGTAAAATCTGGATTAAAAAATTACCTCTTCAGTGTTTTCTCATGCAAACTTTCTTCTAGCATGTTATATTGAGTAAACTAAAACCATTTTCAGCTTTTCTCAACATTTTGGTAGTGTACTTTCTGGAGTGATGTTATCTGAGTTAAAGTAGTTTTAAGTACATTAAATGTGGATCTTTTACACCACATCATCGTGAACACATTGGGGAGGTGTGCTTTTTTGGAAAACTCAAGGTGCTAGATCCCTAATTCAAAGAGGAACATTTCTCATGTTTGTTCATTCTAGTTTATTTTCATTTAAAATCTTTTAGGTTAAGTTTAAGCTTTTTAAAAGTTAGTTTTGAAAATTGAGACACATTACTAATACTGTAGGAATTGGTGAGGCCTTGACTTAAAACTTTCTTTGTACTGTGATTTCCTTTTGGGTGTATTTTGCTAAGTGAAACTTGTTAAATTTTTTTGTTGACTAAATTTTTTTCTTAAAATAAAAAGACTTTTTCACAATGACTGGCACAGACTATATACTCACCAAAAAATAGCAAAATGACTGGGTGGTTGAAAATTTCATTTTACTACTGTATTTCAGTGTGAATTTTAAAATTTAGCACTATGATTTCCCTTGTATTCTTAAAATGAGGCTAAATTAAACATTCAGATTTAAAAACATTAAATATATGAGTGGAAATGGTGACTACAAAATATGAGAGTAGAAGCCTACAGTCCCATCTTCCTGTGACTTGTGTTCTGTTCATCAGCCATGTCCTGCTGTTCCTTTCCTTTATGCCGGGTGGCACCTGTTCATAGCTAGAGATTTTTTGTGTGCTACATACACTGAGTCATTAGCAACAATTTTTATGTTTTTTTTTATATATATAAGATGTGCTGATTTAAACAGTCTTTCTTCCATACTTAGGATTATTTCTGTAGCACACGCTGCTGGGTTACAGTTACTGGTTATTACAGGATACACATATTCTCAAGTTTGAAACATTTCCAAATTGTTATTAGAAAATTGTCTATCTGGCAGTTGGAAACAAGTTCCAAATTTCAGGTAGCTCTGCACACAGCGATCCATCATTTTAAACTTAACGTATACACTAAAACCGTCAAGACTTTAAAATGTGAATGAAGTTTATTAAAAAGAACTTTGCTTGATAGCTATTAACTTTCCCAGCTTTATTTTTCCACTTTGATAACTATACAATGTAGCCCAGTTATCCAGGTTTCACCAGCATAAATAGGATCTTTGCATGGTATCTTCATATTAAGGCACTGGCCTCATTTACAGAGAAGCTGCTGTGTTAGCCAAGCCTCTGATGGTTTTATAGGTAGATTGGAGAGTCTTAGGCCTTTCCTGGCTTTTTTGGGCTTCACAACCCCACCCTGCCATTCTTCCCACTAGTGTTCTACAGACTCAGGTGGCTGGAGATAGGGCAGCAGCATAACCCAGTAATGCCAGAGGCAGAACTGGGAAGGTCAACTGAGAAGACTGGATAGCATAATTGGGGAGCAGGTGAGTTGTGCAGAGACCACGCATCTGTTCTAGGCTGTGTTCACAGTCTGCTCATCTCATGAGTGACAGTCCACTGTAGGGAAGCAAAGGCCATCTAGGTTGTGAGAAAGACCCAGAGAAACCCAGGCAGAAAACCTGGGAGTTCATGAAACCTGTGATGGCAAGGGCTAGGATGTGATTAAAAGACCAAGGCTTGGGCTTCCCTGGTGGTGCAGTGGTTGGGAGTCCGCCTGCCAAAGCAGGGGATGCAGGTTCATGCCCCGGTCCGGGAAGATCCCACGTGCCGCGGAGCAGCTGGGCCCGTGGGCCATGGCTGCTGGGCCTGCGCGTCCGGAGCGTGTGCTCCACAACGGGGGAGGCCACAGCAGTGAGAGGCCCGCGTACCGCAAAAAAAAAGAAAAAAAAGACCAAGGCTTAATAGGGCAGTGAAGTTTCAAGGAGTACGTTTATTCCCCGTAGATCTTTGCTAATTTTGAGGTTCAGATATGGAAGGAGTGGGCTCCAAGAACCTGGGGTGGGAAATTGGGAATGTGCTAGATGCCCTTAAATCCCACAGTGACTCAAATTTCTGGGCCAGCAGCAGTTGCTTTGGTGCCTCTTATTAGAAGAAAGACTTAACCAGAGGCATCACCTGAGGTATGTGGTTGATCAGATAATATCTGCTCTCAAAGTCTGCTGGAAGAATGAGCTGGCCAACTGCTGGTAAGCCAAATCCAGCCTGCCATTATGAGTTAGTATATAGTATAACTCATGAGCTGAGAATGGTTTCCAGTTGAGTCAGTTTGGTGGCAGGAAACCCCGATTAATTAGAATCTCTTCCAAAAGAATTCCATTCTTATTAGTAGAGTTGTAGTACAAAATACTGCACTTAGTGTTTTAGTTTTATGAAAAAAAAATTTGTGAAAACTTCAGCTTTCCCTTGGCCTGCAGAATTTTTACTATTTCTAGCCCCTTAAAGGAAATGACTGACTCCTGTTTCAGAAAACTAGTATCAGGACTGACTGTGGCACAGAAGGAAACTGCAGGGCCTGATTAGTATGTATGAACAGGAGCCGTAGCACAAGGGGATCTTGAGGATCCTGGGCCAGAGGGTTGAGTATAAAACGATTGATGTGGGGTATCTCTGGTGACTCAGGATATAAATTCTAAGCATTCTCGGAGCCCATCCTAATCTAGAGTTGACCCTTGAAGCTTGGAGACGATGGCCTATAGGAGGAAGAGATGCTGGGTGTTGAGAAAGGGGGTTGGGGGGACTCAGGTGGGCATGCTAGAGAAGATTAGTATTTAAGACCAGAAAAAACACAGGCTAAAAGATGTTCTCCTGGAAGGATCCAAGGACATTCCACCAAATTCGATAACGTGCTGGTGAGGTGCACCAGCATTTTGAGACATTAATGGAAGCTCTTGGCCAGGGTTGGCAGTAGGAGAAAATAGGGATAAAAGGATTCCAAAAAAAAAAGGATTCCAGAAGAGCAGAGATCAGGTGGTGGCAATCATCAAATGGTGAGGTAAGCATAATTGTCATGATGGCCAGCAAAACCCGAAAGGCAGGAGGAGCCTTGACCCGGCCAGATCTGTGGTGAAGGCTGTCAGACCTCTGTGTGTCCAGGGGTCATACAGGCACAGCTCTGAGGTCTGTTATATTTATCTCCAGAACAGAGCCAGGTCTCAGTCCCAGAGACCGTCAACTGGAGTGGAGGAAGGGCCTGACAGCATTGCAACAACTATGTAATAAAGATTCTATACATCATCCCCTCTGCGGCCAGGGGTAGGAAATGACCCGAGTCTCTTATATGCTGTTGGATAGGGGGTCTGAGTTGATACTGATACCAGGGCATCCAAAGTGCGATCATGGTCCTTCTGTTAAGATTGGGAGCATAGGAAGTCCAGGTGACATGGATTCCCAGGCCAAGTTCATTTCATTGTGGGTTAAATGACCCACAGACCCCTTAGGTTATCTCCCTGAGTGAGTGGGAAGGCCTACCCTAGGCAGTTGACAGATACCCCACACTGGGTCCCTGGCTTGTGAAGAGTCATAATGGTAGGAAAGGCCAAGAGGAACCTCTCAGAAGGCATTCCCCATCCAAGACAATGAACAAAGATTCTGTGATGTGTGTGCAACGTCTGGAGTTAGGGCCATGCTGAAACACGTAATAAAAAGGCAAGCCTAGCCCTTTTTATTTGCCTGCCTGTTCCCCAGAAAGAGCAGATGGATTCCAGCAGATGATAGCGAAAGACCAGGAACTTAACCGTGTAGTTGCCCCAGTCACAGCTCAGTGCTTAATGTGGTGTGTTTGCCCGGATAGATCAACAAGCCTCTGGAACTTGGGAAGCCCATGACCTAGCGAATATGTTCTTTTCAAACAGAGTCAAGCAAAAGATTTTTTTTTTAATGACCTTATAACATGGACATCAGAACACATTCCCTGTCTTTCTCCAAGTGTGTAGTAACTCCTGTTCTCTGTTACAATACAGTCTGGAGAGACATTGATCACCTTGCCATGATCCACTATATTGATGACATGCTCATTGGTCTTGGTGAGGAGGAAGCAGTGAGTACTTGGGATGCCTTAGGAAGACACCTACCTGTGTGCTAGGGGGACACAGGGACGTATCAGGGACGTTTTCAGGGTCTAATGGTCTTGGACAGGGATTGGCTAACTAGGGTCCATGGGCCAAATCTGGCCTGCTGCCTGTTTTTGTAAATAATGTTTTATTGGTACACAGCCATGTGCATTCATTCATTTTGTCTAGCCTGCTCTTGAGCTACACCGGCAGATGAGTAGTTTCATCAGAGACCATGTGGCCCACAAAGCCTAGCAGACACACTCTGAGCCTTTATAGGAAATGTTTGCTGACCTCTGGACCTGGGCAGAACTGGAACATTTCCTCCAATGGAAAGGTCAAGATACTGCATCACCAAGAAAGAGGCATAACTGTTGGTAGGACCTTTTGGATTTGGAGAAACCTTATTTTACACTTGAAAATAGTGCTCCTACCCAATTACCAGGTGACTAGAAGGCTGCCTGGATTCTGCAAGCTGCCCTGCCATCTGCTACAAAGGACAGAGTAGGCTCCATCATCCAGGTATCTGTGTTCTAAATGGTTTTGCGTGGTTGTCTCTGATGTCTCACTACACAGTGGCAGCTCAGCCCCTGAGTGGTAGGAATCAACGCCATGTTCTCTGCAGCAGGGAGCCGTTTACTATTCAAAGCAGCTCCTGGAGCTACTGTGCTCACCCTGCACTGAGTGTTAGCAGTTGCATCAAGTCCTGAAGCTCTTCTACGGTATCTCAGTTTTGGTTTTAGTTTTTGTGTAAAAATTCTTGGACACTTTGTTAGACTTGTTTCTCGGTTTTTTATTATATTTTAAATGGTGTCTTTTAAATTTCTCTTGCTGAGAGTTTGTTCCTGGGACTAGAAATACAGGATTAAAAAAAACAAAACTATTTTTATATTGACCTTTGTGGTCTTGCTAAAATCACTTACCTGTGCCGATTTAAATGTAGATTCTTTGGATTTTCTACAAAGTCATGCCATTTGCAAATAATGACATTTTGATTAATTTCTAATCCTTATGTACTTTTTTCTTTGCCTTGTTGCAAAGAAAGGTAAGTTTATTTTTTATCATTAGGAAATGTGATGCTGAACATTTGCGGTCAGAGGGCATCTTATTGAAAGCTTTCAATAATAGTCCTCCATTAAAATACTGGTGTTTGGTTGCATACCCTTGATTTAGGAGATTTCCATTTACTTAAGTTTTAGTATAAATTTATTTTTTAATCGCTAGTAAATGTTGGATTTTTTTTAATACTTTTTCCTTCTTGTGTGTCTTTATTCGTTTTATCTATCTTCCAATCACTCATTCTCTTCAGCTAAGTCTAATTGGTTGTTAAACATCCGTTATGTTTAAGAACTGATGAACTTTTACTTGTAAAATTTTCTTAATTTTTTTTTTACATAATGTAGAAAAATTAATTTTTTCACAATTCTG